TGACCACTCATGTTGCAAATCACAGAAAGCTGATGGGGCTGAAGTAGCAGGAGGGAAAATGAAAACCCTGCCTAGATGGGTCCAGGCTGCCACCGAGGGCCAGGATGAGCTGCACCCGGCCAGCCGGGCCCGCCCTGAGCTGCCTGGGAGGCGCTGCAGCGGCCCAGACCCGGCAGGTCTGGAGCTCAGACCTTCTACCTGTGGCCACTGCGGATCATAAGGACAGGCCTCCAGCTCGAAGCAGAGTTTGACCTGGGGGATAAAGGAACCTCTAAGCCCCCAGGCCAGACCTCTGCCTATCTCTTCCCTGTGTGTAGTGAGTCCTCTGCCCAGGCCTATAGCTCGTGAGCAAGGCCCCGCTATGTGGGGTCCCTCCCAAGAGGGGAGGTCTCTCGCCTTGCCCAGACAGGACAGATTCAGAGTTGCCACCTCTGCAGCACCTTCCACCCCGCTGCCTGCAGAGGCCCCACTCACAGCTGTCCTCTCTCCTCCGTAGAAACACGCTGACCACGAGTGTTTTCACAGACAAAACCTGGTGAAGCTGGAAAAGACACCACAGGCGGAGGGTGAGTGTGGCCAGGCGAGCTCCGCGGTGTCACTGCGACGACAAAGGGCAGAAGCACCCGAGCACCCCTGACCACCAAGGTCCCGCCTCTCCCAGACCTCTGTAACCTCCTCTGGGTGGAGCATGGAGGAGAGCTGACCCGTGTGGGCATCCTCAGCCTCGTTCAGCCGCACCCCCTGCCTTCCGCCTCCCCCACCCCACCTAACTGGGTGGTGCAGGAGATACGGATATTGGGTGGGGAAGACCAGGTCAGCCTGAGTGGCTACAGGGAGGTGAGGCTGCAGAAGCCCAGGTGGGATGAACCCAGGTTGCCCAGTCCCAGCCCAGAGTCCCCGCCTCGGCCTGCTCCCAGCCCACCCTGTGCCACACAGCCACCAGAGTTCCTCCTCCCCTCTGTGGAGCGAGCCGCCCATGGGATTCTGGGTTTTGGCGCCCGGCAAAGTGCAGGAGAGACACAGAAGGAGGACTCGGTCCAGCAGGCAACCTCGGCAGAGCTGGGGCTGGCTGCTGCCTGTGGGGCAGGGGTCACAGCGAGAGGAGAGGGAGGGGAGTCCAGGGCAGAGGATAAGAGGCCACTGCAAAGCCTCACACACTCCGGCAGACACCTGCATCCAGGGCCACTGGAGCGAAAAGGGCCTGGCAAAGGGGGCAAAGCACAGCCAGAACACCAAACAAGTTACTTGGTTTTAGAGGGTTTCGGCCAGGGCCACCCAGGCTGCCAGACACTGAGGAGGGGTTATGGCAGTCGGCCGCAGGGTTTGTGACCGGGAGGTGCCTGAACGAAGAGGACACCTTCCTGGCTGCAATTCTCAGGCCGACCACGTGAGCAGCCGCGTGACTCAAAATCTACTTCACCTTCTGGTCTTGAAGTTTCTTCCTCCATAGACCTGGCCCAACAGCCCCCTACGAAGCCCAGGAGAGGAGATGGACATGCAGGTCAGGCCTCAGGGCTGACATGCTCAGCTCCATCCCCCCGACCCCCACCCCATCTGGTACAGGTGAGCTGGCAGCTGCTTTCCTATAAATCCAGCTCCTTTCTAGGGTCAAATAGCCAGAGACCTCTCATCATGAGGCAGGCAGACCTGTCTCCTTGATATTGAGAGACAAACTCAAGAAGTTGTCCCAAATGGCTATTTCTGGCCCATGCCATGGCCAGGGTGGAGCAGGTGAGGGTGGCAACTCTCCATGGCTCTTTCCTACTCCAAAGGAGCCCAAGACGCCCCACCACGGAGCTGGCCAGCTGAATAGCAGCCGAGATTTGGGAGCCTTTGGAAGACGCCTTCAGCCAGTGGCTCACCCGCTGACCTGCAGGCCGCCTGTCCCACACCCCCGTGCTCCTGCCCTCACACCACCGCCTCCTGCCCATCCTCCTGGCTCCAGCCCCAGGTCTACCTCAAAGCTCACCACTCTCCCTGCTGCATGGAGGCCTGGGATCTGCAGACCTGCCCTGCGCCTCACACCCAGAGCCTGGCCTTGTCGGATGACTCTATTGCTACCATCAGCACAGCTGGGCAGGGGTCAGCCAAGCCACCAGCCTCTCCCCAGACCTCCAAAGCAAAGAGAAATATACTCCTAGTGAGGACTAGCTGGCTGGTATTTAGATCCACATCCTATTAAAGAAATTCCCATCCCTGAGTCAGGATAAAGCTAATAGTAGGTTCTATCTCTCACCCACGTGAAGGTGCTTACCTTCCAGCTTCAAGCCGCATAGCACGCTACCTCCGAGAGAACTTTCATTTATTCCCCTCTAGCTTCCTTTGTTGCCTTCACAAAGCCTAATCTCAGAGCTTTGATGTACACTTGGGACATTGGCTCTTTCTCCTCCAGTCGCCGCACTCCGTTCCACACATTTTGGGGCAATCAGCTCCCCTGTGCCTTGCTGAGTGGCTGTGGTGGAGAAACAGGCCCTGGACTAGCGCTGGCAGGTGTCTGTAGCCCTGCTACGGGCAGCACCTCCCTGACCTGAGTTCCTGCAGGAATTTCAGAGAGAGAGTTTCCTGAAGGAGCCTCCAGGGAGCTCACGAGGCCACCCATACTAAGCCCATGTCTTCAGGCCATGGGCTCCTTCTGATTTGGGTTCAGCTTCCACCGCCAGCTGCCGGCCACAGATCTCAAGCCCTAGAGGCCCCGTGTCCACCTGGTGTGCTGCATTGACGCCACGCAGTGACCAGGGAAAAGTCAGGGAGCCTTGAGATCAGTTACAAGCTCCACCGGCGATTGCACCAATCGTGCTGCAGTCACATCGGCCCTGCCCCCAGAGCCCTGAGGTAAATGACCAAGCATCCTCCACGCAGCACCTCGCCTCAGCTTTGCCTCCTTCTTCTGAGCACTTGAGGAAGGCACTGGCACCATCTATGCTTTATAGAAGCGGAAGCTGAGGCTCAGAGGTTGCTAGGCTCACGGAGGTGGCACAGCGGGAAGGGCTGCGTGGGCTGTGACCAGGTGAGCAGCACCGTGAGGCCCCTGTTCTCCACCAAACTGAACAGGGCCGAGAGGACAGCAGAGTCCTGTTCCCACACAAGCAACAGCTGCTCTCAGCTCCTCCCCGGGCGAATCAGCCCAGGCCACGGGATCCCTGTCCGGGCTGCAGAGTCCCTGTCCGGGCCGCTGATCGCTGTCTGGGCTGGGCGTGGATCCTGTCCGGGCTGCGATCCCTGTCCGGCTGCAGAGTTCTCTGTCCGGGCTGCGGGACGCTGTCTGGGCTGGGTGGACCCTGCGGTCCGCCGCGGGACGCTGTCTGGGTTGCAGAGTCCCTGTCCGTCGCGATTGCTGTCCGCTGCAGAGTCCCTGTCCGGCTGCAGAGTCCTGTCCGGGCCAAGCGGGACGCTGGTCTGGGCTGCAGAGTCCCTGTCCGGCTGCAGAGTTCCCTGTCTCGGCCGCGATCTTCTGTCCGCTGTAGAGTCTTGTCCGGGCGCCGCGGGATCCCTGTCCGCTGCAGAGTCTCTGTCCGCCGCGGGATCTCTGTCCGGGCTGCAGAGTCTCCTTGTCCGGGGCTGCGGATCGCTGTCTGGGCTGGTGGTGAGTCCCTGTCTGCCAGAGTCTCCTGTCCGGCCAGGTGGATTTGCTGTCTGGGCTGCAGAGTCCCTGTCCGGGGCCGCTGGATCGCTGTCCGGCTGTAGAGTCCCTGTCCGGCTGCAGAGTCTCTGTCCGGGCCGCTGACGTTGTCGGGCTGGTAGAGTCCTGTCTCAAGCTGAGTCTCTGTCTCGGGGCTTTTGATTCCTGTCTCGGCTGCAGAGTTCCTGTCTGGGCTGCTGATCTCTTGTCCAAGGTAGAGTCCCTGTCCGGGCTGCGATCCCTGTCCGGGCTGTGAGCCCCCTTGTCCAAGCTGCGGGATTCCCTGTCTCAGCTGTAGAGTCTCTGTCTCGCTGCAGAGTCTCTGTTCAAGTGCAGAGTCTCTGTTCAAGCAGTGGATTCCCTGGTTCAAGGCAGAGTTCCTGGTTCGGCTGCGGATCTCTGTCTGGTTGCAGAGTCTCTGTCTGCTGCTGGATCTCTGTCCGGGCTGCAGGAGTCTCTGTCTGCTGCAGAGCCTTGGTCTGGAAGTGTAGAGTTCCTGTTCAAGGTCAGAGCGCTGTCCGGGGCTGCGGGATCCTCACCTGGGCCGCGGGATCCTGTCCGGGCTGCAGAGTCTCCTGTCCGGGCCGCGGGATCTCAGTCCGGCTGCAGAGTCTCCTGTCTCGGCTGCAGAGTCCCTGTCCAAGCTGCAGAGTCTCCTGTCTGGGCCGCGATCCCTGTCCGGGCTGCAGAGTCTCCTGTCCGGGCCGCGGATCCCTGTCCGGGCTGCAGAGTCCCTGTCTGGGCTGCAGAGTCCCTGTCCGGGTCGCCGGATCCCCTGTCCGGGCTGCAGAGTCCCTGTCCGGGCTGCAGAGTCCCTGTCCGGCTGCAGAGTCCCTGTCCGGGGCTACGGATCCCTGTCCGGGTTGCAGAGTCTCCTGTCCGTCGCGGATTCCTGTCCGGGTCAGATCTGTAAGCCACGGGCGCCAGCTTGCCATGCACACTCCAGGTTCCAGACAAGGCTGAGGGGCTTTTGCCGCCCAGCCTCAGGCTCTTGTCCACTTCCCGTGACTGGCACGGGCTTGGGGCAGCTGAGGGAACAGGCTGACACGCATGGATGGGTTTGTTCAGGAAGATGCTTGCCGCTCCTTCTGGGGCCACACAGAGGCGGTGTCTCTGCCTGATCCGAGTCTCCCACTTCCTACAGCAAACACCACACTAACTTGGACAGCGGGTTTGGGTCGGCCCCACCTGGGAGGCTTGCAGAGGAGGCAAGGTGCCAGCCACGTGAGCCCACCCGTGATACCTAGACCTTCTAGAAGGGTGGGGGGATGAGGAAGGCAGAGACAGGCCTGAGGCCTGGCCAGCTGGCCTCGCCCAGGAGAGGAGTTGAGCCAGAAACCTTCTTTACTAATTTATCTCTACCTTGCTCCTTACCCCACGCTCACCGCAGAATCAGGATCTGCAGGTTGCTGTGTAGGAAGCCTCCAGAGCTGGGCTCCAGGGCACAGATGGCACCTGACACCAGGCCTGGGCTGGGGCTCCTGAGGCCAGCTGCCAGCACCTCCTCGTGCAGACAGCCCGGCCAGTGCTCATGCCACCAGGAGCGGCGTCTGAGAGGCTGAAGGTCAGTAGTCGGCTGTCCTGGGGGTGAGGAGCAGGAGCAGGGCTGGTTAGTGCCAGGAGGTGGCTGGCCTCACCCACTGCAGCCTGCGGATGTCACCACAGAGAGGCAAGGGGAGGTCCTCTCCCGCCTCCTGTCCTCCCACCGCACCCTGTCCCCAGGGCTCCAGCAGTGGTGGGGAAAGGAACACAAGGCTCCCAGCCGCTCCTGTGCCTGCCCTCGACCCACACACTCCTCCTCCAGGCGCTCCCCTGCCCAGACCCCAGAACTCGCCTCAGGGCACCGGTCCTCCTTGTGCCCTGGCTGCTGCCATGTGATGTGTGTCTGCCTCTGTGGACAGTCTCCTGGCTGCAGCCCCAGGTGTGGATCCAGGAAGCGGGGCTCGCTCTGTCCGGCTGGGCACCTGCCTTAGTGCCCACCAGGCCACACCGCCAGACCCCCGGGGAGACAAAACTCCACCCCTCACTCTTCTTGGCCGGGCGTGGCTCAAGCCTGTAATCCCAGCACTTTGGGAGGCCGAGACGGGCGGATCACGGCAGAAGATCAGACACCATCCTGGCTAACACGGTGAAACTCCGTCTCTACTAAAAAATACAAAAACTAGCCGGGCGAGGCGTGGCAGGCGCCTGAACCCAGCTACTTGGAAGGGCTGAGGCAGGAGAATGGTGGGAACCTGGGAGGCGGAGCTTGCAGTGAGCTGAGATCTGGCCACTGCACTCCAGCCTGGGCGACAGAGCGAGACTCCGTCTCAAAAAAAAAAAAACTCCACCCCACCCCGGCTAGAACTAACCTCTGAACTGCAGGCAAAGTGGCCTGAAACAGCCTCAGTCAGGTCTGCCAGCAATGACCCTCCACCTCGTTTCTGGTTCCCTTACTGCAGGAGACCCGAGGTTTACCAGCCTGGAGGGTTGGTCGGGCTGGGCCAAGGACTCCCACATGGCCCCAGGAGGGTGGTGTCCATTCACCTGGGACATCTCTGCCAGGTTTGCCCTGCTCTGAGGCTCCTCTTCTCCAGCTGAGCACTCTCACCTGCCACCACCTCGCCGGACGCCTTAATTCCCAATCAAATCACTGGTCTCTCCCAAACCTTTGATTGAGTCACCAACTACAGACCAGGGCTGTTCTGGGTGCTGGGGACAGAGCCATGCACAGACAGCCTCTGCCTCAGACAATGGATGAAGAGAAGACAGAGGGGTGTTACATCGGGCCTCGGCCAGACCTCAGGGAAGGACTCGCACTGCCTTCCGGTCTGTACTCACTGTGAGAGGCCTCAACTTCCAGGTAGAAGCAGAGATGATGAAGATGTTCCAGGTGACCTGTATGGCTGTCCACATCGCGCACTAGAGAGGGAGGCAGCGCAGCTGAACGCAGCTCCCGGCACCTGCTTGCACCCAGGCCCCGGGAAGGTCCTATGATCGCACAGGAGGGGCGGCCCTGGGCTCCTGAGTCTGGTGGCCCCGGGATGCAGCGTGGAGAAAGGGTCCCCGTGCCCACCCCTGCGACAGGTCTCAGAGCTTCCCACGGGCCGCCTAAGTGACCCATGCTGACAGCCTAGCCCTATGGAGCCCTAACAGGCCACACCATCATATTAACCCACTGAGCCAAGCACGCCTGTCCTTTACTCTCGCTGGCAGATATTGCACACGGATAGCATAGGTTTTCCTGTGAGTACCTCAAAGCCAACCCCCAAGAGTGCCCCAAGGAGCTGGAAGCCGTTTTGTAAATAAAAAGCTGTGTGGACACAGCCATGCCCATTTGTGCACACACAGCTCCAGGCTGCTTTTGCGCTTGAACTGCACTGCCACAGCGCTGAGGTATTTACCATCTGCTCCTCTTACAGGAAAAGTCAGCTACAAACCACTGGTCTGGACCGACATTTGTCGCACTGAATGAAAACGCTGACTGAGCAGAGATATTTTTCTTGAACATTCTCTCCAGCCTCAGAGATGTGCATGACAGTATAGCCAGGGTCTGTTGGGTCCAAGCAACCACCTGGGCTTGAGGCAGTGATTTGTTCTCTGTTTCTAGTCTGTAAAGTAGGGACTGCAGCAGCACCCATATCCCTGGCTACTGAGGGGATGAATTTTGTGAAGGTTTCAGGGCTCAGCTTCCCAGCATGACGGCGGGTTGCCCTACAAGTAGCCCTGGAAAGCCTCCGTCCAATCCAGAATTCTAGATGTGCAGGCAGCAAAGAGGTCTGAACCCAGGGTCTGGGTTGGTATTTGTAGGGGTGTCTGAAGGTCTGAAAATAGGGCAGGATGGTGCTACGGGAGCTACCATCCTGGTCACCTCAACCTACTCTGCCTGCAGCGGTTTCGTCGAACCTACCACTACCATATAGCTGGCTGCATTGATGAATGTTATTCAGGATGAGCGATAATGAGTAAGGGCATGGATGGGTACCTACTGGTAGCCCAGGAAGTCAAACACTGCCTCCAGGGCGGTGACCTAGCAGGCAGCCGCCATGAAGTGTGGACCTGAGGGAGGCCTCAGCCAGGCCTGGCCAGCCAGTGCCCGGGCCAAGGTGACCGGCACTCAGCCAGACTTCTCCCCAGACCTGCCCACCACACCTTTGTTTGACAAGGGATGCCGGGGCCCTAACTCCTGCTCCATGACTCCATCCAGAGCAGGCACTGCATCTACTGTGTGCCAGGCTCTTCCAAGAAAATCCCCAAATCAGCCTGACAGGCCTCTGTGAACCCCACCGTCCCTTAAGGCCCCCACGTGTCCCCGCCTCACCCCCATGTCCCTGCCCCCCGCCGCGGTCCCCGTCCGCCCCGGTGTCCCCGCCCGCTCCTGTGGTCCAGCCCGCCCCATGTGTCCCCGTCCCTATGTGTCTCGCCGCCCCCGTGTGTCCCCCACACTCAGCCATCCCCACGCATCCCGGGGCAAGCCGCCCTCCCTTGAGTAGGCTCCCATCCTCCCGCCCCGGTTTCCTATCTGGAGAACAGGAACACTGGGCCCGTTCTGAATCACGCACCCGAGGCTGGGTGACAGATACACAGACGGCCCAGAAAACAATTTCACTGTGGGGGGCTTGATGGCCGGGAGGACTGACGCTGATCCACAGGGGTACCGACGCGAGGCCCCAGCCTGCCACCTGCATCTCGGCCTGTGACAGCGCTGGCGTAGGCCGCTCTGCAGACAGGCGGTCTCCCTCTACTTCAGACATTACAGGACTCTTGTGGAACTGGCCTCTACAGGGCCAAGAGGGAACCAATGCAGGGAGGGAAAAGCGCCTGAGGAATATAAAGTGGGTATTTTATATTTAGGGAAACCAAGAAAACCCTGAGCAAAGCCAAGGACCAGGGTGCTAACTGCAGGGAATGGCGATCGGGTTTGCTCACCAGCTCTTCCTACGTGCTGGTGAAGCACACCCCAGAGAACAGAAGATGCTACAGAACTCACCCACCCCCCACCCCAGCCGCCCCATCCCCACCCCAGCTGCTCCATCCCCACCCCATCCTCCATCCCTGCCCTCCCAGCTGCCCATCCCCACCTCTATCCCACCTACCTGCCCCATCCCCACCCCATCCCCAGCCCCACCCGCCCCATCCCACCCCATCCCCCCATCCCCACCCCAGCTCCATCCCCCCACCCATCCTCACCCTACCCGCTCTGTCCCACCCCCACCCGCCCCATCCCCACCTCAGCCCCCCATCCCCACCCCACCCCCATCCCCACCCCCAACCCCTCCACCCACCCCCATCCCCACCCCAATTTCATCCCCACCCCACCTGCCCCAGCTCCCTCACCCCCAGCCTCCCATCCCTCACCCCATCCCCCATCCCAGTCACCCCATCCCCCACCCCACCCCCATCCCAGCCACCCAGCGGCCAGAGCTGCCGCCATGCTCAGGACAGCCACGGTGCATCCAGGGAGGACCGGAAGGGACTGGTGTGTGCTGGAAAGGCAGTGACAAGCGACAGCAGCGCAGCTGGGGTGAGTGCCATGGCTGCACTCTGGATTTCACTGCAGGCACTGGAGGGGCTGAGATGCCATGAGTGGCCTCCGGGCCTCTGGCCTTGGGGGTGGGATGGGAGGGGCACCCAGAGAGGTTGAGCCCTGAGACAGGGGAGAGTTCTAGAGGGCCTGGGCACCTCCTCACGGTGGGGGAAGTGGAGGCTGGATGGGCTGAACCAAGAACAGGGCCAAGCCGGGAGGGCACCGGGGATGCCGGGGGGTGGGCGGCCCAGGCTCTAGGGGCAGCTTCCATCCCTGCCTGGTACAGCTCCTCAAACCGTGCCTGGGGCACAGCGGGCAGGGTGGGCTGTTGTGGACCTGCCCCATGGTCATGCCGCAGGGAAAAGGAGGCCTAGCCTGACTCCATTTCGTCCCAACCCCTGACCCACAGCGGTATACTTCAGGTTATCTGCTTTTGCCATTTCTGCACGTAGGCCAAGCTCACGACGGGAGGAATTCAGCTTGGTTTACCTTTCACGCAAGGACGACCATAGCCCCTTCCCGAAACCACCCTGGAGAACAGGAGCTAGGCAGGGTGTGCACACAGGCAACAAGGCTGTGGATCTGAGCCCCGTGACCTGGCCCGGGATGTGGGGGCTACAAGACTTCACCCACCCACTGGTCCTGCCTCACGGTGAGTCCAATTGTGCCCACGGCAGCTTTCACCCGGCCCTGGCCCTCCAGCTGTAGTGTGGCTCCAGTGAGAAAGCTGGGCAGGTACGGAGCCCAGCACAGAGCAGGTGCTCAATAAACGCCAGGAGCGGGGTACTGTGAGGACACCAACTGGTCCATGGGTTGCAGGGAGCAAGATCTGCCAAGTGATGGTCTGGGGAGCCAGACGGGAAGCTGAGGGGTTGGGGAGCCAGGCGGGAGGCTGAGGGGTTGGGGAGCCAGGCGGGAAGCTGGGGGGTTGGGGAGCCCAGGTAGGAAGCTGAGGGGTTGAGGCCAGGCGGGAGGCTGGGGGGTTGGGGAGCCAGGTAGGAAGCTGAGGGGTTGGGGAGCCAGGCGGGAGGCTGGGGGTTGGGGAGCCAGGCGGGAAGGCTGGGGGTTGGGAGCAGGCAGGAGATTGGGGAGCGGGGTGGGAGGTTGACCACTAGCAAGGAGCACAGGAGCCTCCCTCCCGGGAGCAGCAGAGGCTGAGTGGCCTTGGAGGAGGAGGCGGGAGACATGGCCCCCAGGACACTGAGGCAAGAGAGAGGTCAGCTAGCCTGGCCTCCCTGTGGAGCCGCCTCATTCTTCCAGCAAATCATCTCAGCGAGTGGAGACCGCAGAGGTCTGTCATGGCAGGTGGTTCCTTGGAAAAACCCTTTCCAACACAAATTGCTCAAAGCCACACCCTCATCTGTGTGGGGTGGCCGCTGGTGGGGAAAGCCACACAGGGAAGCTGAGCTCACTCAGGGGACAGGGCACTCCGCTCTCCTAACCCTGACCCCCAGTTGCTGCCCCACTCAGCAGCCACCTCTTTGTGAGCCCTCGGGCCACGAGAACCAGTGCACCCCATGGATACCCACAGAGACCACTTCTTCCCCACAGCTGTGGCCTGGTCCCCCACCAGGCGCTTGGAGCTCAGGACAGTGAGGCCCCGGGGCTCGAGACCCCGCCACCCTCCACTACTCGTGTCATGGATGCCAGATGTGAAGCCTGAAGACCAGCAGCCTGAAAGCGGGATGGCAAGAGCCAGCCCCGAAAATACAGGGAAGGCAGTGGCCAGCCCCTAAAACTATAGGAACTATGGGAAGCCCCCCATGACAGGAAGGCAAGGCCTGGCCCCAGAATTACTGGAAGGAGACGGGCCAGTCCCCAAATTATAAGGCGGCAGAGGCCACCCCAAATGACAGGAAGGCAGAAGCTGGCCCCCAAAACCACAGGAAGGCAGGGGGCCAGCCGACCTCCTTCCCCAGCGGCGGAGAAAGGGTGAGAAGGTGGAGTACCCGGTCAGCAGGCTTCAGGCAGATCGGCCGGGCCTACCGGGAGTCCCAGGTACAAGGACACAGAGGCTCACGGACAGGGAAGGGAGCGGGCCCTGGACGGCGGCTCCCGGAGGTGTCAGAGCAGGGGGCGTGCACACCGCACTGGGGGCCGCTCACCCCGCGCCGGCACCTGCGGGCGCGCGTGGCGTGGTGCTGGCCACATCGAGCCACTTTGCAGGGCCTTCACCACATCACTCAGCAGGACCCGGGGCGGCGGCGGGGCTTTGGCAGAGAACGGCGGGATCTGAGCTACGTTTTAGAGACGGTCCCAGGCCCGTTCTGCTCTCTCCCCCAGCAGCCCAGACCAGACCCCATTCCGTCACAGGCTCCCCACAGACAGCAGCGCACAGCAAACCTGTCGCTGCCAGTCGGAGAGGAGTTAAGCAGACGCTTTTAGGACCTCCTTGGCTCACAAGCGCCCCTGCTGATAAGACTCGGAATCTTCCTGATTTCCGCAGCAGCAAACAAGGCCCACATCCCCAGAGTCAAGCCAAGGCCCCCAGCCGACCAGGGTCTCCAGCTTCCCCAGGCTGCCTTCCTGAACCAGGCAGAAACCACCCTCCTGAGCTGCCGCGGCTCTCTGCCTGGGAAGCTAGCTCAGGCCACCGTCCAGCAACCCACCAGCCCCTGGAGAGGCTGGGCCCTGGCCTGGACAGGGGCGGAGCCTCATCACCTGAGGATCTGCCTGCCTCCCCAGGCGACTGCTGATCCCAAAAAGAAATTGTTCGCTGTCAGGACTGGTCAGGGACTCCCTGGGGCCAACGACCTGACACAGGCCAGCTGGGGGTCCTTCCTGACCCACTCTTCCACTACCAGATGTCAGCCAGGAGGCAGGGTGCAGGGACTTGTCTGTGTCCTCCCCGTCCATCCAACTGAGCTCCTCCCAGGCAGGGGACCAAGCTCCATTGCGCTCCCAGTGGGGACAGTCAGAGGCAGAATCACTGACTCGGGCTTCGGAGACGGGAGGGCCGCAGACGAGGCAGAGCGGGCCCCAAGGCAGGACCTGGAGGTTGTCCAGGAGGCAGCCCGAGGCAGCTGGGTGCGAACCCACGAGTGCTGGGCTTCACTCCTCCAGCACCTCCAGGCTCCTCGTCTGTGAAATGCTGGCGCCTCCATGGCTGGATGTAGGTCAGCCTCCGCCATGCTTTCGGCAGAATGAAGTGCCAGCTGCTGCCCGGCTGCCGCTGGCTGTATCAGCACACGTGCAGAGTCCCGTGTGCAGCCTCAGAGCTGGTCTCACCCGCACCGCGTGACCCTCGAGAGGCCCCAGTGCCCGTCCACAGGCCCTCCACGCCTCCAGTCCTGGGAATCTGCCCTGTGTCCTCACGGGAAGGGGATGCTGTCCACAGATGCGCCCACAGCGGCGTGATCTGCCAGGGGCGGAAGACTGGAAACGTCAATTTTGACAAGCGGGTGCTGTCACGTGGAGACAGTGACTCCAGGCAACCAGAGGAGCCTGCCTGGGACGCAGAGCGGGTCCAGGCGACATGTGGTGGGGACAGGCAGAGCGAGGCA